GCAGAGACTCTGAGCCAGGGGAGGGAGGGCCACCCCGGGGAGCTGGGCGCGGGGCTGGGGGTCTGCCCTAGGACTTGAGCACGTGATGAGACACTCTGGTGAATGTGCCACTTGCCTGGCCTGGTGCCAGCTCCAGTGCCCTTCCTGCCTCCCCGCCTTGTCCCCTGCAGCCGTGCGCCGTGGGTGTTGTGTTCTGCCACCTCCCCGCCCCGCCTGCCTCCCAGTGCTGCTGCTGCTCGTGAGGGGGCCACGGGCCTGGGGCCTCCATCCGGAGCCTCAGCCTTTGCTTCCCAGGCCTTTCCGGGGGGGGGGGGGCGGAAGCGGGCAGGGAGCAGGACGGAAGCAACTTGGCCCAGAAATCTGGGTGCGTGGGGGGCTCTGCTCTGAGTGCAGGTGACAGATCCTAGGATGGGGCTGCGCTGCGGTCCCATCCAGGCAGGTGGGCCCCCCGGCCCAGGTTCTCCGACCCAGCTGCGGTCACTGATTCGTTACCGCAGAAGCTAGTTAAGAGGAGTCGCTACCAACAACTACCCCACGCTGTTGCTAAGCTCCCTGAGCGCCCCCCCGCCAGTCTTTGCTACTGGGCTCCTGACCTCTGGAGGGTAGGCTGAGGGTGGGGGCTGGGAAGGAAGGGCTTGGCTGGCCTGTCGCCATGCTGGCCCTCCCCAGCACTGCCTGGGTCTGGGCTGAGGAGAGAGCTGCTCTGGACCCCCTGGGCCTGGCTCTTGGCTTCCCAAAGGCAGAGGGGATGGGGTGTTGTCGCATTGGCCGCCCTGCTTCCCCGGCCTCTGCTCAGTGCTGTGCGCTCCCCCGAGTGCTCCTGTAGCCTCCAGCCAGCGTCTGGTCTGGGTTCTGGGAGCCTGAAGCCACATTGCTGAGGCCCTCAGGAAGTCAGAATCCAGGGGCTGGGCCAAATGCCCAGGCCCCCTTCCCTGATGCCCTCGGGGGAGGGGGGGCCTGTAGAGCAGGGAGGAGGGCTGCTACTTCTGCCCCAGCTAGTCTGTCTCTGGCATCATCTCTGTCTTTCCCCTGAACATCCACTTTTCTTCTCCAGTGGGCTCTTCTGAGTGTGCCGCAACCTTCCTCTCGGGAAGGTCCTTCGTTGGATCTAGGGCAGGGCTGAGCTTGGGGTGGGGGGGCGCGAGGGGGCCTGTGTGCAGGGCCTGCTGCTTTCCCTGCCTCTGCCGACTGCTTTGGCTTCTCTTTTTATGTGGGTATTTATTACAAGTGGCCTTGTGTCAGACACACACTCAGTTGTACACACATGCACACTCGCCTCCCCACCTGGACACACACAGTGGCCAGTGGCCTTTCGATGTGGAGAGGGGAAGCCGGTGTCCCCAGGTGTGACCTTTGCTTTGATGGGCAGGGGGAGGGACGTGCAGGATACTGAGGAGGCTCGCAAAGGTCTTGAACAGATGTGGGCACCTCAGAACTCTCCGTTCTTTCCTTGTCCTGGAGACCTCCTCGGGGCCTGTTCTCCTCCGTCTCGCCTGGGGTGGGGAAAGGGAAGGCCTCTGGTCATCTAGAGGCCCCCAGGAGGGAGCCTCACACCCACCCCACCAGCTTGCTGCCTTCCTGCCCCTGCAGCCACCACCCGCCACCCTGGTTCTTGGGGAAACCAGCTTCTGCTCTTCCCCGAGAGATTACAACTGAGGGAGCCGGATGGGCCTGGTGCCCAGGGAACAGTCAGAGAAGCATTGGGGAACCTGCCCTTTCCGGCTCTGTTCACCTCCCTGCATTCTGAGGCCATTCCGGAGTTGAAAGCGAGTCAGCCAGGGGCCTCTCGGGCCTGCACAGATACCTCATCCGCCCGCTCACCGCCCCTGCCCCTCCCCACCCAGCAGTGGGGGCCTTCGAATCTAGTGCCGAATGACTATGTCCAGATTGGTGACGATGGGTGTTGTTGCTGTTGTTTTTGTCGTTGTTTGTGAACGCTGTGATGCTGTGTGCCCGAGAGGGCAGCCGCCGCCCAGCCCTCCCTTGGGCATCTATCTCCCCTCTGAGAGCTGTCAGGACCACGTCTGTCCTCACCCTGTGGGACCGCCTGCCCCTCCCCCTCCCTAGCCCTTCCAGCCTGGGGGACGCGTGCGTGCACACACACATACACACACACACACACCTTACCTCTCATGCGTGTTTTACTTTTTGATGTTAAGAGTGGCTCACTGGCTGGGAGCCTTTACCTCGGGGAGAGGGGGAGGTTGGTTCCTTGGGGGGCCAAAGAAGGGCAGGGAGTGCCTGGAGGGGAATGAGGGGTCATCATAACCCCTGCTCTCCAGGAACAGCTTCTCCCCCATCCCAGGGTTCCATCCCCATCCCCCAAAGAGGTGGCCCTTGTTTACAGTGAGGACTCGGTCACTGTGTCTCCGTTTCCTGAAATACAAACTGTAGCGACCCCAGACTGTAGAGATTTTTATGTGTTTGGATACATCTGCTGTGTGGGAAAAACAAAACAACCCTACAAAAACCCTAATTTTGTACATATTGTATTTTTACTATTGAACTGTATTCTAGTGGCTGTTCATGCTCCAAGACTTTAGGTATTGAGACATGAATACTATCCATGTAATAAGCACTTGCCTGGAATAAAATATAAAACTGAAATAAACCTGCACTGAAACCAGAGATGGAGCCGCCAGGCTGCAGCATCCGGGTCACTCTGTTGCAACAGGAGGCCTCCACCTCTCTGGAAGGACCTCCAGCAAGAAGCGTCGGGGGCCTTGCCTCGTTGTCCTTTGAGGGGCGCAGGTTCCTCCAGCAGCTTTGGTGCTGGTCAGTTTTAGAAGATTCGGGACCTTCTGGTTCTGATGCCAATGTTCAATCCTAAACAAGCTCTGAACTGCAGTTCTGGTCTTCCTTATGCTTTTGTAATACTTTCTACTTCCTCAAACCATTTTTACAAACACTATCTTGTTTCATCTCTTAACAGCATGGTGGAGTACATAAGCCAAGAACTAGCCCTGTTCTGGCAGGTAAGGAAACAGGTTTGAGGTGGCCAAGTGACTTGTACGCTCACACAGGTCGCCTGGGAGCCTGGGGAGCTGCAGTCAGATCTGACAACTCCGGCAGTTCCCAGCGTGTGCCACTCAGCTCTGGGGCCTGCCGCAGAGCTGGGGATCCTGAACGTGAGAAAGTTCCAATAGGAAAGGTGGGGGGACCGCCCTGGATCGGTGCACAGAACGGGGAGAGGCTTCTTGAGAGGGGATGTGCTTCTGAGGTGGTAAGTCAGGCCAGGTCATCTGGGGAGTCCATGAGGGAAAGGAACAAGAAGAGGAAGAAGTCGGAGGGCAGGATTCAAAGAACCATGTTCTAAGATGGGCCTGGAAGACCCTTGTCCTTATAACTACATCTCTCCCAGTTTAGGGGAAATCAGCCCTTTGCAGGCTGTCTCAGGAGGAAGTGGGGAGGGTGAGGAAGAGGCTTAGCTATAGACCAGGCCGGCCGCCTCGTCCAACACCCTGACCACACCTTCCCCACTCCCAGCCCCAGCCAGAGGAATGGACTCGGCTTCTCTTCCTGGGAGGGATTATCCTTAGGGAAGGACGTGGTGGCCACGAATGTCTTGGGGTCCCCTTCTCTGAGGAAGCGCTAACCTCAAGAAAGGCCGAACCCAGTGCCCCTCCTCTGCCAGCCCCTTCACTTGTGAGATGCTGGCTCCCTCTGCTGGCAGCTCCAGGAAGAGCGGAGTCCTTTGGCCTTAGGGAAGGCCTAGGGTTAGGAGTCTTGGCCACTGTCTGGCCCTGGGGCCAAGGATGAAGCCTCTGCCCCGGACAGTGCTGACCCAGTATCACCTGAGGGCTATTGCTAGCTCTTAAGGGTAGGCAGAAACTCCCCCAGCCCAGCTGGAGCCTGCCAGAGAGGGGTCCGTGATCAGAGTAACGAAAGTCCTGAGTAGGAATCCAGGTGCCTCCGTTTAGCAGCTCTGTGTGAGAGGGGCTTCCAGGGTTGGAGGGTCCCCGGGGGGGTGTTCCTACTTGCACGTTGTGCTCTCCTTAATCTGCCCGTGGCGTTGCCCTCAGCAGACCCATCACTGTGGCTGCAGGATTCCCTCCGGTCCTGGAAGTCCAGCCGAGGGGGTAAGGAGTGCCGATGCTTGTGGGCAGAGAGGGAGCAGCGGGGAGTGTGTAGAGGAGCCGGGCCACTGCCAGGCTAGTTTAGCAGGGGCCTTGGTGAACTTCTTTCAGGTGGAGTGACAGCACAGGAAATTCTGATTGTTCTAGGCAACAGGATGGGGGCGGGGGGGGGGTTGCCTTGAGGAGCTTGTAAGGTTCCCTGGACCCAGATTTTCCCGTGTCAACCAGTTCTGTTACTTGGCAGCTCTGAGTTGCCCTAATGCCCAGAAAGCCCGTGTCTAGACCAGACCACATGCTGATGCTGGGGGCTGTGGCTGGAGGGCGCTCCACCTGGAGCCACTGACAATGGGGGCTGTAGTCCTCTGGGGTGGGGGATGGCAGGTGGGAACCTGCTATTATGGCTGGGCCCTTTCCATGCCTCAGCTGCTTTGATCCCTCCTGACAGTCTCCTCATGCCCCAGCCTGAAGCAGGCAGCTCGGAGTGCTCCGTGGGCAGGAACCAGAGCCAGAGGGGCAGGGTTCTTCCCCACTGGCTGGAGGGCCCAGGAGGCTCCTACAGATTCCCATTCAAGCACCAGCTCATCACTGTAGCTGGTCAAGAGGGCAGGCAGGTTGGGGAAGGGGAGGGACAGGGACCTAGGTCCAGAGGCCGGACAGGTCATTGGTCGGTCTGGGACAGGACCCCTGGCTCTGAGGTGAGCCCCCCCCCCACCGAGTACTCGGAGTCTGGCTGTCACACCTGCCCCTGACCAACCCACAGCGGAGGTCCCTCTCTCCTGGAAGCTTTGGTTCTCTGTTTTCACCAACCTTGTCTTGTGGGGCTGGCCCTCCTTACAGCTCAATTGTGGAACTTCTAGAATTTCCCAATACACAAAGTCACTCCCTGTCCAGTGCCAGCCCACAAGCAGCCCCCAGAGCCTCAGGCATTGCCAAATGCTGGGTTTATTGGTCTGTTAACACTGAAGAGTACAGTTTCTGAGCCAAAAGACATACACACTCTGCTTCTCACAAAACCACTGAATCACTAAGGCAGGCACACAATGGCCGCCATGCTTGGTGGCAGCCAAGGACTCACCGACAACAGGGGTAGGCAATGGGGCGGCTGGCCCCCAGACCGGCTGTGCAGTGCCCAGGACAGGGGTGGGCTGGGGAGACTGTGCCGGATGCAGAAGGGCCGCGGGGCCCTTTCCCTGCTTCTCAAATGCAGGAAGTCTCTAGACCGAAGGGACTGCTGGACAGGCCCTGGCCCCTGTGGCAGAGTGGCCTCCTCGCCCCAGGACAAAGCCCTAGCCTCAAGTGTTTAGGGGTGGAGGGGACGTGGGGACGGCAGAGCAAGCAGCGTGCCTAGGAGCTAGGCCCTTCCCAGCACCCCTGGGTGAGGCTCCTCCAAGGGCACTTCCGGGTCTCGCGGCCTCTCCGCACCCTCAGCAGCACGCAGCCGGCAGAGCTAGCCTTGCTTCTCACCAGGGACAAACAAGGGAGACCCAGGCATCCTCCCCTGTTCCTAGACCCAGGGACTCAGCAGGTGCCTGAGATGGGCGCCGGGCCTGTCCTTGAGAGGAGGCTATGAGAGGATTTCCCCCCTTAAGAGCCAGCCACCCTGGGATTCCTCTGCAGAGGGAAATGCCCCCACCGCATTCCAGATCACCCGGCGGGCAAAAGCGTCACTTACACAGTTGTCAGGAAAGGGACTAATGCGTAAAGCGAGAGCCAGGCGGTGAGAGGGGACCCGGGCAGGTGCACGTGGGCGCCCTGGGCAGGCCGGGCCAGGCTCACCGCGGGGGCCAGAGGCCGTGGCAGCGCCGCTGCTGCTGCACCCGTTCTGGCTGCCCCCACGGGGGCTGCGCTGGGCACAGGCACGCCGCCTGCCAAGGGACTCGAAGAAGAGGTACAGCACAGGGTCCCTTGGCCCACACGACCCGCGCCGGCTGGGGCCAGGCAGCTCCAGCCCTGTTAGCTCTCCTAGGAGAGGCCGAGGCTGCAGGCGACAGGGGGGCTATCCCCAGGTGTTGGAGACGGGAGCAGAGTAGGTGTCCCCCAAGGCAGCCGCTCCCTGAGGCCAACCCGCCCCCTCCCTGCCCCTCCCCGGCCTGAGGCATCCAGGCCCCTGACTTGCCCCCTTCGCAGGGCCAGCACTGCCCGGAGTCGGATCCCAGGCTCACAAGCACTTTTTTAGGAACTCAGGTGGGCAGGCGGGGCCGGCTGGGGGTCGGGCAGTCTCAGCAGTGCTGCCCTGCACCTCTCCCTGTGCAGCCCGGGGGACCGGAGCCCAGGCCCTAGTTGGCCGCTGCTTCCCGGCCGCAGCCCTCACTTGTTTTCTATGAGCATCTGCACCTTGTGGACGAGCTCCCGGGCAATCTGCAGGATCTCCTGGGCATCGTGATGCTCAGCCCGTTCTGGGGGAAACACACAGACCCTGTGGGGTTGCTGGAGCAGGGCAGGAGTCTGGGAGGAGCCCGTGGCTGCCCACCCTACTGTTTCCACCTGCTTCCGGGGAAGGGAGCTCCTCCAACCCTGCCCAGGCCAGGAGTGGAGGCCCCCATGCCGCTGCTGGGGGCAGCCCAGATGGCCGGAGCAGCTCCTACCGTTGAAGAACTTGATGATATCGGTGAAGTCCATGTTGTTGTCCCGGATAATCTCACGGTAGGCCTCCACCAGGGCCAGGGCGATGAACAGGACAAAGTGCTCTGACGAGATGTGCCGGGCCGCCCAGATCACCTCCCACACGGCAAACACATCCTCATAGAGCAGCTCTGGGGATTGCAAGGGGCTAAGGCTGAGCCTGGCTCCCCACGGGTTTCTGGATGGAGCCAAAGGTGGAGACAGAGCTCCAGGGACCCAAGTCCTGGGATTCTCCCCATTACACACAGCCTAGTCCAAGAGGAGGGTTCTGGGCCCCAGGTCCAGACCCTGCCCTTCTCCTCCGTGACTGACTCCTTGCACACCGGGCTCGGGCCGACTTCACACCGGCATTCTTGTCAGCTGGAGCAGCTCTACTTGGACAGGCTTTGCTGCTTGAGAAGATTTGGTTTCAAAACAGTCCCCGAAACCACTGGCTTAGGGTGAATGTTGGCAGCACTTGGGAGTCGCCAAAGGAGCTTTTAAAATTGTGGATGCCCAGGCAGCCAAGCTTCCTAAGCCTGGGGCTAGGTGGGGCCAAGGCGCTGGCGTTTCTAAAAGGCTCCCCAGGCGGTTCCAAAGTGCAGTTAGGGTTAGGAATCACGGACTCTGGCCGGGAGGGATCTCCCACGCCCTGACCACTAGCCCCACCACCCAACCCACACAGCTTACCTCTTTTAAAATCCAGCAAGAACCAACGGTAACAGAAGTAAAAGTGGGTGTAGTCTCCATTCTGATGCATCAGCTCGAACAGCTCTGAGTCCAGGATCTTACAGAAGTAAAGAAAGGGAGCGGACTGAGCTGCCGCTGCCTCTCCGGGCCGCCCTTGCACTCGACTGGGCCCCTCGGCTGCACGGGCTGCCTGACATCGCTCCCAAGCCCCTCCAGTCTCCTTGGGTGGAGGCTGCGCTCTGCTGCCCCACCCGTCTCTCTGGGAGCTACTCTTTTTGGAATTGTGCCATTTTCTGGGTGTTTGATTCACTGTCAACCACACCGCTCACCAGAACTTTCATGAGCACAGTATTCACATGCTGACATTCCCCCTTGATCTGTAACATTGAAACATGGTTCTCAAATGAAAGACACTAAGCTTATATGGAAAGGGCATTGTTGGAACACTCCCTGGCCTCCTGTGGGCGATGGATGAGCCCAGTGGTGCTGGTCACGAGCCCACAGGCAGCTGCTGACCTCACCTGGATGAGGGAGCGCATGTTGGCAAAGTGGGTGTCCATGGCGCCCCCATTGGGGAAGTTCTGGCTCATCCTCTTCATGAGGTGGCTGAAACAGCTGTAGGCCAGCTGATCTGAGGGGAAACGGGAGTGAGGCTGGCAAGGCAGGTGACGCCAGGGCCTCACTTCACGGGGGGGGGGTCCTGTGCCCAGAGGACAGGGCTGGCTTACACCCCCACCCTTCCAGACCTAGTGGGGGTCTTCTTTTCCTTTCTCCAGCTTGCGTCAGCCCAGCTACCGCCCGCTCCCCCACGCCCGGGCTCAGTCCCTCACCGTTGTCTAGGATGACCAGGAGAGGTGCCAGCAGGTCGCACATGCCCTGCACATAACCCACGTCCAGGTGCTCCCACACGTAGCTGAAATGTCGGTACACTGTCACTACGGGGGAATCCCTGGGGAGATTGTCCCTAGAGTAGCCTGCCACCCAGAAGTCAGCCTTTCCATGACGCTGAAATACGGGGAGGACCATGGTCAACAGCCCACAACCTCTGTCCTCAAGGCCCTCAGGGGAAGAGATGGTGAACCGGCTGGGGCAAGGGCAATCGGCTAGGCTTCCTGGAGGAGTCTGGCTGACGCTGCGATGTGACAGACCTCGAAGAAGGAAGAGGGGTGGGGTGGGGGGCACGGCAGGGAAGGCGTTCCAGGCAGAGAGCGCCGAGTGGGATTCGGTGCGAGGGAGAGGAACAGGGCCCCTGCCTCCCGCCCTGAACCCCGCCCCAGAGTAGCACCTGCACATGATGTCTCTGAGCCTCTCGAGGTTGGGGGGCGTGAAGTACCAGTAATTGCGGTCACAGCGCTGCACATCCTTGTCTATGCGGTGCAGATTTAAGGCCATAGTATCCAGTAATTCTATCTGAAAGAGTGGGGGGCCCTCAGGAGTGAGTGGGGGCTGGCAGGGATGCCTATATAACCAAAGGACTCTGAGAAGAGAGCCCTCCGGGGATGCTGAGGGATGGGCCCAGTGCCCCCTACAGGATGGTCAGGGCGCCCCCCCACCTGCCACCCACCAGCCCCCGTCCGCAAGCCTTGGGGTGCCAGGAGGGCCTCTGGGGCTGGACAGTGCCCGGGGAACGTCCACGTACGGTGTAGGCAGCAGTGCACATGGCCACCAGCTCGGCCCCTGCCTCCAGTTCGCTGGCCCGCGAGGCCTTGTGTGGGCTGGCGTCCCGGGGCTCGGAGAAAGCGCCAGCCGCTGGGACCAGCCCGCTGGAGCCTTCCTCCCCACCGCCATCCTCCTCCTCGAAGCCCATGCTCTGCCCCTCATCTATGCTCGACTGGATGCCCGAGGTCACGGAGTAATTTCGAGAGGACGGCAGTCCCGAGTCGGGGGAGTCAAACTCCACGGACTGCTGCCGTCCCGCCACGGCGGTGCCCGGGGGCCCCGCTCCCAGCTCCTGCTCAGGCTCGGGTCTGCAATCTTCAGTGCCCGGGGGCTCTGGGGGCTCCAGGTCATCCACAGAGATAAATACCTGGTGGGGGTGAAGAGATGGTGGGGCTCACAGCCCTCCTCCAGCCCCTTCCCTCGGCTTGCTGTCTCCTTCCTGGGGTCTGAAGCAGGCCGCGTCACGGCCTCCACACTGCACCCCCACCGGCTTGCCAAGCCTCCCCTTCTGACCCACGCAGACAGCTGGAGAGCCATCAGGCTCCGGGCAAACAGGACAACACCATCTTTAGCCCTATCCAGGCCCCCACCCCCACCCCAGCCCAGCCTCTCTCTGGGGCCAGAGAAAAAGCGGGAAGCACTCCAGGATTCCCGTGGCGGCCGCAGGGAAGGGCAACCGGAGGCTCAGACACCGGATGGCCAACGTGAGCCATGTGTAGTTCTACAAACACCCGAAGTCACAAGGCTGCCTCAGGGCAGGAGAGTGGCGCACGACCGAAGGCCGCCACGAGCCCTGGTGAGGCTGCTAAGGCAGCCCGGCGGGCGGCAGGCTGGAGGTGTGAGGAGAACAAGTTCTTCCTATGTTCAGTACTGGCCGTTTAGCAGGAAAGACAGGAAACTTCTGCAGCAATTGCCTAATCAGTTACAGGAGCTTCACACAAGCTCAGGAAGGGGGGTAAGAAGGGAAAGGTAACCTGTTCTAGATTTAAAACAGCCTGCCACTGTGGACAAGTCCTAGGGAAAAGAAAAGAGACACATGCAGATTGTTCTGTTTTTCTATTTGGACTACATAGGGAAAGGAACGCTAAAAGCCGTTTTCACTTTGGCGAGAAGCATGAAGCGCTGGGTTAGCATCAGGTAAGGCAGCACCGAGCCTCACGTCGGTGGCAGCAAGGAAAGCTACTGCTGCTCGTGGGCTAAGCAGCGGGGGCGCTGGTATGGACTCAGGACGGCACAAAACCCAAAGCCAGAGAGAGGGAGCACGTTCACGAGTAGGGGAGTAAGAACAAGGCAGGTGGGAAGGAGCGCAAGGAATTCCCTTGGTAGTTAAGTCTTGTTCCAGCTTCAGTTCTCTGTTAGTGTAAGGATTTAGTAAAGTAACAAGAATAGACGTTATCTAGAGAGACAATTTTAAAGAAAAAAACATACAAGTTAATAAAAGAATATCCTTAAAACGGAAACTTCTTATCGTTTCTGGTTTGGCCCCGCAGCCGTGGTCTGGGACTCGCTGTTCATCTAAAGGCCAGGGTGATGCCGGAAGGACTACATAGGCTCTGAACTAGTGTATCAGTTCCACGTGGGGAGGGAGGACACCACGGTGGGAGGGGGATCCTGCCAGTAGGCGCCGACGGGGACCCTCTGAGTGCTGTCCTGGTCTCTGGCCAACAAGCTCTCGGTGAAACCTCCACGGTCAGAGGATAGCAGAGCTGAGAGGGACACCAGGGCCCAGAGAAAAGAAGTCACCCATCTTACTGACCGTGGACCTGGGACTCCAACCCTGGGCTGTCTGTTTCTAGCCTTGAGAGACCTCTCCCTGTAGGAAGGAGCGCCTCCCTAGATCCTGATACATCCTTCTTTCCCTGCTTGTCCATTAAACCAGAACACAGTGTACTATCTCATTTCATTCCTGCGACACTCAGAGACGGGGGCGGCAGGGGGGCCATCACTGGGCTTCTCAGCAGAAGAAAATGAGACACAGACACATTAAGCCATATTCTCCCAGTGACTCCTACTAGAGTTCGGGCTGCTGCTCAGGACTCCACTTTACTCCTATAAAACGCTGGTGGCCCCTGTCCCCGGCTCCCCCAGGTCCCGTCAGGCTCACGTCATTGCTGATGGTGGAATCTCGGTGGACGAGGCGCTGCACATGGCTGTCGATGCTGCTGCCCGAGGAGAACTTGGTGAATGGGGCCGGCTGAGCCTCCCGCTCCCGCTGCCTCACCACCGCCTCGCAGGCCTTCCACTCCGCCAGCACCCGCTTGTACCTTGCTGCCACTGCCGAGTCCGCCTGTCTCAGAGCACACCGTGACCATGGAGTGGGGGACCCCGGGGCCCAGCGGGGGGGGGGGGGGCACGGTGGGGCTGCCCTGCTAATGCCTTCCTCCGCCGTTTCCTTCCGGCTGGGGCGGCGCCGGGGCTGCAGAGGCCCCTTCCTGGGGTCCCTAGGCCCAGCTCCCCAGCTCCCTGCCCCATGGGAGTACGGTCCCCTTACCTGCTCCATCTCTTTCTTGCTCATGCCAAACTTGTAGTGGCCAAGCAGAAAGGGCCAGACGTCCTTACGGATCTCATGCTCCACGCCTCCATAGTAAACTTGCCGTAGCAGCTCCAACTCCTTGTAGTTCTGAGGGACCCCGGAAGTAAAGACCATATAGCCCCCACGGTCACCGCAGCCCAGCTGGGCGACCCCATCAGCATCCCTCCCATGGAGTGCTGGGGCTGGGGACAATGATTCCGTCACTCCGCCGAAGCCCAGGCAAACCCTGCTTTGGGATGGGCACGGCCTCCCTGCCCCAGATTACAGCTGGATGAGATCCAGTTCAACCTCCTTCCCTTCCAGGATTGGCAACGGAGCCCAGAGAGATGCAGAGATTTGCCCAAGGTTTCAGAATAACGTGGATGCACACTAGAACCAGCCCAGCCCCCTTCCCATGGAAACCCACAGACCCAGCTGTCTGAGATTCTACCATGACCTGGGCCACCCCAAGGCCATCAGTCCCGACCTCTATGACATTCTGCTTGAATGCCCATCTGGTGTAGGAGAGCTGCTCTGGGGGCAGGCTGCCCCTTACTCGCTGCTGCTCCCCCGCGTCCCACCAGCCCCTTGACCCAGCCTCCGGCCCTGGCTCCCCAGAGTGTGCACCTTTTCGTCCTTCTGATACTTGCTCCACACGTCCTTGGTGAGGCCCCCTGAGGCCCCCGGGGGCCGGGCAGGAGGGATGATGTGGTGACGCACCAGTGCTGACAGATGGGTCCGCACAGTGGACAGGTGGCGGCAGTAGGCCAGCCCTGTGGGGGGCAGGGGGAGCCAGGACCCATAGCAATGGTACCTCCCCCAGCTCCCACCCCTCTCGGCCCCACCCCACCCTACACTCACAGCCATAGAAGGCCCGGGACACAATCTGCCTCTTCATGCTCTCACACAGCAACCTGAGGGGCAACCTGTGGAAATAACCTGGCTCAGAGGGGAGGGGCTATGGCCCCTCTGGTGGGAGGAGGTTGAGAGAGAAGGACATTCTGGCCTGGGGGCAGGTAAGGTGCTCGGGCGGTGTGAGCAGGATCCACAGCCCCGCAGCACCTCTGCGGGCTCCCTGTGTCTGTCAGTCACCCTGAGTAGACCTGCTGGGGACCTAACCCGGCCCCCAACCACCCAAGGGACTTTGGGCAACTAACTTCACTTCGTGTTAGTGAATCTTGGTTTCCTCATGTGAAAATGGAGAGAACCATCTCAGGGTCACGAGGAGTAGCACGCCAAAAATGAAGTTAAGAGGTAAAAGAGAAGAGCCCTGGCATCAGGCGCTGGCTAGGACCCTCACACCAGGGCCGTTCATACGCCATTCCTGGCACATGGCAGATGCCCAGATACCTGGTGTGTGTCCTCATATGTATAGCCTGAGGGCAGCGTCCGTGTCCACACTGGGAAGGAGAGCTCCCACGTACTGAGTACCTACTATGTGCTGGGCACAGCTCTGGGCGCTCACTGAGTCACACACCTCATTTAGTCCTCACCAGTACCTTAGGAAGCAGGTGGTATTATTCCCATTTTACATATGAGGAAACCGAGGCTCAGAAACATAGAGGCTCACAGAGACTCAGTAACTTGTCAAAGTCACCTAGGTAGCAGAAGGGAAATTGAACCCAGGTCTGTCCAACTTGAGGCCATCCTGTCAGACAAGTGCCACAGCCCCTCAGGGCAGAATGCGCACAGGCAGACCCAGGCGCAGGGAGCTGGTGTTCTGGGCCCTGCCCACTCACCGGTCGGGGACACAGCTGCAGCGGCTGGGGGTGGCATATGGGGAGCTGCGGGTAGAGCAGAAGAGGCAGGAGGAGCCCTGGCTGCACAGGGACTCCAGGTGCCAGGCTGGCAGGCTGGGCCCAAAGCCCTGCATTTCGATCATGTCACCAGCATCTGAGGACAGGAAGGGGGCCATGGTCAGGGCCTGGCAGGCCTCCGCCCCACAAGCACCTGTAGCATGCCCACCTCTGTGCCCAGAGCTGCAGCATGAAGTTACCCACTGGTAGCAAACCACCAAGGTGGCACCTGCCTGGTCCAGAGCCCAGAGATGGAAATGGTGGAAAGAGAGGCTGCCTGACACTTCCCACCCTCCAGCTAGTCTTTCTGCATGTGATAAAATACTTGGACTGAGTTGTGGATACTTGTGTCTGTTCTCTCCATCTTGCTATCAGCAATGGAAGGAGCACTTGCTTTTCTAGAGGGAGGAGGAAGAAAGAACAACAAAAGCCTAAGCTCTCTAAAACGCCGCCAGCTGGCTTGGCCCTCGATGGTGCAGCCTGGTCCTCCTGGACAGACTCTGAGATGGGCAGGAAGGTGCCTGGTATGCTGCAATGCTTTGAACCTCTCCACATCAGGAGTCTCCACTGTTCAACGCTCCTGAGGATCCCAGAGCCACTTGTCCCGGTCGTCAGACCTTGCCCCTCTGAGGGTTCTAGACCCTGTCACAGGTTAAGGAGGAGCAGTGCTCCCCAACCCAGCCCAGGTGCCCTTGCTGCCAACTCACATGGGTTCTTCCTGAGTTCTCCATCCTCACCCTGCCTGACTGCATTTAGCATGGTGGTCTCCTCCAACCACACAGGTGAGCTGGCAGGAAGGGCAAAAGTCCCAGTGCTGTCAGGCCACTGTGGGGGCGGTGCTGGGCACCTCGCTCCCCCACCCAGAAGGAGGTGCCCGCTGCAGCCTCAGAAGATGCCTCCTCGGACACACCTACCCCACCAGTGGCTGGAGCCTTCTCAGCCAGCCCAGCTGGTCTGAGTCAGAATTCGAGACCCTTGAGAGTTCCTAGGACCCAAGTGGAGCAGGACACTGCCCACAGGGGACTCTGGCAGGTCCAGTGAGTCACAAAGACGAAGCGAAGTAAGGGCAGAAAGCGTAAGGACCAGGAGATGACACCAGGAGGGAAGGGGAGAGCAGAGAAGAGGGAAGAAGAAGGAATGAGAGCTGTATGTGTGAAGGAGAGGCTTTTCTCAAACAGCATTTTGTCGTATGAATCATAGCCTGGGCCCTGGCTTGCTAGGAGTCTGAAGCAGACCTGGGCCCGGTTTTTGTCAGAGCCAGACTCCAGCTCTGGATGTGCCTTGGTGGGGAGGGCTGAGCTGAGCCCCCTCCAGTCCCCTCAGGGGATGCCCTTTCTTGGCCTGAGACGCTCTTTCTCAGACCCACAGCTGGGGTTTTTGTAGGTATCTGGCCCTTCAGCTCCACCAGGAGGCAAATTAAGGGAACATACGTGGTGTGGAGGGGCTGCGGCTCTGGGAGTGAGGAGTTGCAAGCCATGCCCAAAACTGGGAAGAAGAGGGAGGGGACAAATGCAGGTGGGGTGGGGCAGGAGCCCAGCTCATGCCCCTGCAACAGGCAGGAGAGAGGCCAGTCATGGGAGGGGGGTTTGGGAACAGGCCCAGCCAGGCAGGCAGCAGGCAACAGGCGGGCAGGCGGGGGGGTGGGGGGGAAGGGGGTACGACAGGTACAGAGGATGAACGGTGGGCACATAGGGAAACAAGCTCATGCCCAGAAAGTAGGGCCCAACTGAGGCAAGACTCCTGGGTCAATGCTCTTCACCTTAATTCTCCAGGAAGGAGCTGAGCCAGCCAGCATTGAACACTGCATCTCTGAATTAACCCAGTGCAGACAGCTGGAGCTCTGGAGTGACTGGGTGAGGGGCAGCAGGCTGGACATGGGGGGAGTGGGGGGGATCTGCTGGGCCAGCTTTGACTCTGACTCTCTCCTCTGAGCATGAGGAAAGTTTGAAGCAAAAATGATCAGGGTGGTTGAACCCCACAGCCCCTAAGACTCCGAGTGAAAGGTGCCTGGCCTGGAGCAGAATTAGAGTGAACAGCATCTCTGCTCTGTGGGGAGGTAGCAGGAAAAGGAGGAGAGGTGGGGGGAGGGAGAGGAGAGTCTGGACACCCGCCACTTGATTCACATGCACAAGTCAAGCATGTGGCAGGCCTGAAAAGCAACGGCTAGTAGAACGGACTCAACAGTGTTGTCATTATGGACTGGGGTGGAGGTGGGGGCTCCCACATCAAATCCCCAACCACCTGCCAATTCTCCTCTCAGGTCTCCTCTCCTTTCCCCAAGTACTGGGGGCCCAGGGGCTGTATATTGGGTTGGTCAGGTTCCCGAGTTCCCCGAGTGGAAGCCCAGATAAGCCCCGAGGCCTCTGGACTCCATGGGCACGGGGGCTTCTCTGACCCTGGAGGCCTCGACCCTAAGACTAGTCGGGGGTTGGGCTTCCTAGTGCCAAGTCTGTCAAGACAGGGGCTCTGTTGGGACCCCCAGCCTCCAGCCTGATATCAGTTCATGCAGTAAGAAAGGGATCCCTGTCCTTCCTGACTCAGCCTTCCTACACTGCTCCAAGTCCCTTAACCTGTAAGTAAGCATCAGTCCCGAGCCCAGGTTTGCAAGGAGTCAGACGGCGGGCTGTGTGCAGACAAATTCAGAAGTGAGGCTCCTCTGGACTCCCGCCCAAGGGGGCCTGTGGGTCCTGCCAGGAGGGCTACGAGGGAGGCAAGGCACAGGGCAGGCATGTGGTAGGTGGGGGCAGCTGCTAGGGCTGTGCTGAGGGTGTGCTAGATGTGTGCTAGGCCACAGACTTAGTTTCCCAGGGAGTGGGCGGGGCAGGGGACCTCATTGCTGATTTGGTGGCTGGGCTAAGGAACTGGGCTCTTTGGCAGAAGTTTGTGGAAGCATAAGGGGAGTGTCACATATTCTTAGATACCCTCTGTAGGGGCAGGAAAAGGGGAGAAGAAATGAATTCTGTGGCATGGGAATGGGTGGGGACAGGGAAGTTCCCTTAAGCTCCAAGAAAGCTGGCTCCAGCCCCTTCATAACCAATTTTCCCTTGAGCATCTGGCCTAGACTTCTCAGGTCCCCTGGCCGATCGCTCTCTATAAAGAGTAGGGTTCTCCTCCTCTACCAACCTATCTCTGTGCTAAGAAGGATGGGTGGTGGACAGAGGGACCAATGTGGAGGAACTCGGCACTGCGCCGGGTCGTTTACAATGAAGGGACCTCCTCTGTAATCACGGACTCTGAGGTCTGCGAGGGTGGGAAACACCTGTTTTAGACCTCCGGCACATTTATTTCTAGATTTCATGCTCCAGGCAGTACCTGCTAGAGCCGTCAGCCCTGCTGAGTAAACCCAGCCCTGGGTCTCTTTCCATGGTAGCTCCAACACCTCACCTGAGCCACAGGACTCATTCGTGTGAGCTGTCCAGCCCCCATCCCTGCCGGGGAGGGGCTGAACCTCTACCCTGTTTCTGTTAAGTCAGAAGTCAAAGGTCCAGGGCCGGGAGGCCAGTCTTCCCAGCCAGCAGGGGAGAAAGAAAGAGACAATGCTGCAGCTTGGCCAGCACGGCCCCCAGGAGTGGGTGTAGTGCTTGGAAAGACACTCGAGGTTCCCCAGAGGCGACCAGATAGTCACATCTTCCTACCAGAGGATCCTCACTCGCAGGCATGAAGCCCTCTCCCTTCCAGACTCACTGGGGAGCCCCGAGCCCCCTGCTCTTTGTACCATCCCCTCTTCTTGCCAGCGCCTCTTTCCGCCCTCCCTGACCTGCCTCCTGATGGGGGACCACCCCAGTCCCATAATGCCAACACTGCCGTCCGAGCCCCTGCGGTGGGTGGCAGGTGGGCCAGGGGATGGGGCGGGGCAGGGATAAAAACCTTTCATCGGATTGGGAGCTGTGAGGTTCCGCGAGCAGATCATTGAGAGCATCGCGTGCAGTTTATCCTCCTCTTCCTCATCATCGTCCACCGAGGCCGCGCGGCTGGCCGCTAGGTGGTGGTAGTTAATAGTGACTGCTCAAAGAGAACAGCGAGAGAGGCAGAGGCATGAGGACCTGGTCCTGGCAGGAGGCACCAGACTCCCTCCTTACAAGGAGGGGACCAGGGTCTGGGTCGCCTCAAACCTGCTGGGCACTGAGAACGGGCTTGGGGGACCGAGAGCTGTCTGGATGATTTACGGGGGAGAGTGTGGAAGAGAGTGAGGGGAAGACGGCAGCTCCAGAGCTCCCCTGGAGGAGGCCCTGTCCAGGAAGAGCAGCAGACGGAGAGCTGACGGGGGGAGTAAGGGGAGTGAAAGACAGGGACCAGTGGGGACAGGCAGGCGGCTCAGGAGCTCCCTAGCCCTGGCCAAAGCAGGGCACGACTATTGGCAGACGGATCCCGATCGTTCTTCAGCTCATATCAGAGTCAGGCTGAAGCAAATCTGCAGGTTACCCCAGATCCCCCTCCTCAGACGTGAACCCCAACCTCCTCAAGGTCTGCCCAGCGCTGCACTTGAGCAGAGCCTCAGTCACTCCGCTGGGTTCCACCTCCCAGGGCCCTGGCTCGCCCTCTGGGGGTGCAGTCCTTGAAGCAAAGTGACCAGAACTGGGAGATGCCAAGGCTTAAAGAGGGGACGTGGAGACTGAGTCATCTCAGCCGCACAGCAGCCCAGGATTAAATGCCAGCTTTGCAAACACATTCTGACACAAGGCACGGTTCCTAGTTAGGCACCTCTGGGAGGGGGACCGCCGCGGCTTGGGCCCATCAGTCCTGCTGGGGCCATCTGGGCTATGGCTGTGTGCTTGCCGTCTCGGTTGTCCGTCTGCTAGGACAGAGACAACTCCCTGACAACTTCTGGCACCAGTTAGGAAATTTAGGGAGCAGGTAGTTCAGTTGGCAATAAATGCTCCGTGCTGGTAAATCCTCGGACCTCACCCCCAAGACCGGGGACTCTGGCCCTGAGAAACCTATAAGGGGCAATGGCACTCACACCAGAAAGGGAAATCCGGTGTTGGCGGATACCTACCCACAGGCCCCATGGACCCAAGGGTGTGCGTTCAGGTGCGGCAGGACCCATGAGAGCCAAGCCATCTCTCAGCACCCCCAGTCCCCAAGGTCCCCCAGCCAGCTCCAAGTTTCACCTTCTTCAGGTGCACCCCTACTCCAGCTAAAGCTCCTCTGACCAGTAGCTGGTCCGAGGAGGGCTCTGGCTCTAGGGGAGTCAGTGAACAATTTGCACCATGCAAAAAGAAGCACTGACCCTGCACCCAGGCTGCCTTGTGGAGGTCAGGCCGTGGGCCAGGGAGGAATGGAGTTCTCCAACTTCTCTTTATCTAGTCTCACCACATTTTTTTTTTCTTGGGCCAGGGCTGGAAAGGCTAAGAGAATACTGTACGATATTGGCTGAGCCAAGAATCTTGGGGTGACGAGGTGGGGGAAGACAGGTAGGTAGAAGAGAGGCAGCAGCTTCTCAGAGGGATGATCTGCAGGGGAAGGTCTGGTGAGAGGCTGAGTAATGAACCGCTCCTCTCCACCTGGCCTGGTCAGTGAGTGGACCCTGCCTGCTACGCCTCCTGGGTTAACACTGCACTCCCCTGCCTCCCTGAGCGTCTTTCTCGCTTCCTCCATGGATGAAGCTTGAGACACTCACTGTGCTCGTGCCTGTGGCCGGGGTAAATGATCCGGAACACGTAGTCTGTGGCCCACCCGGTGCCCATCTCCTCCACATCCACGGTCCGTATGCTGCTGCGTTTCCGTAGCTTGGGGAACACTTTCCCCTATGGAGGGAAGGGTGGGTGGTCGGCCTGTTCAGGGCAGTGTCTGATCCAAGGTCCCACCCAAGGCAGCCGCTAAGAACTCCATGTGGGGAAAGGAAGGACGTGAGCAGAGAACCCCCCTCACACATCCCTTTACTCAGAGTGTCCCAAGCCCTGAGGTACCTTCCCCTGCTGCGTCCAGAGTGGGGGCTCTAGCTGGCCTCGGGGCAGCAGCCCATTCTCCAGGCAGGACAGAAAGGACAGCAGGTGTCCTCCCTGTGGGAAGTGCAGCGGTGGCCTCTGGATGCCATCCTGGCTCACCAGCACGAGCGTGCCGCCACTCTCTGTGGGGTGTACACGGGTGGGTGAGGCTAGGCCTCCCTGAGACCCCTTGGTCATCACCACAGCCCAGTCAGCCAGGCCTCCCAACTGGGTGCATGGGCATGACAGGAGGAGGACAAGACATCCAATGGGCCGTGCACGGTATGTGGCCGGGAGAGGGCAGTCTCTCTCTCTCCTCAACCCTGTGCCCAGGACAAGGGAGGCTCACTTTGCTGGTGGCAGTGGATGCAGACGATCTGACTGAGGGGGACAACCAGGGCATAGTCCCAGTAAACGCTGGAAAGGAACCAGATCGATGTCACTGTGTTGCAAGGCCTGTCGTCCCGCTTTCTTCATTTCCCACCGCCAAAACCTGTAAAACGACCCTGAAGACAGGAGGACCGTGGCCGAGAAGTGACCTCAGCCAGCCATGTCCGTCTGGGCCCCTGCTGTCATGGCACAGAGCCTGGCAGTCTCAGCTGCCTAAAGCTTGGCTCGGGCAAACCTCTTCATGCCCAGCCTGGCTTGATCTTAGAGAGCTTGGGAATCTCTCCAGGCAGCCTATTCCTGCAATTCTTGGCATCGGGATAAGGAGTGAGTCCTGCCTCCCGGAGCGAGCGGAGTCTGTCCACCCCCCTGCCTGGAGTCCCAGAGCCCCCACCTTTTCTCCAACTCGGAGTCCCCCAGAGTCCCGTTCATGAGCTGGTTGGGGGTCCACTTCAGAGTTAGGCTCTCTGCAGACTGGTGCAGGGAGAGGTAGCCAGGGACAGCCTCCATGTCCTCCTTCTATGGGGAGGAGACACAGCAGAAGGCAGAGGTGACAAGGTGCTGAGGCTCCCAGGAGAGGCCTATGAGACATAAGCTCCCAGCAGGAGCTGGGGAGCCTGAGCTAGTAGTCACAGGATCCTGGAGTGGAGGCCAGGAGGAAGGACGGGAGAACATGAGCCACACGCAGATGTGGGCATCTCCTCTCCCCGGCTGGCCTCGTGCTACTGGCCCTGTCCTGTCAGCCTCCCGGACGCCAGGTATTTCCTGGGCCAGCCGTACCCAAGCCAGGTGTTCACCCTGCCTGCCGCTTGCCATTCCCACCTTTGGACAGCCTGGTTCTCAGCGAGCAGGGCAGATGCTAACTAACTGAGTTGGCTCCTGCCAACTCAAGGCTGGGCACGAGGCATGTGAAACTGTGAAGTGAGGGGTAGGGCCCTTCTCCCCCCTTCTCTCTAGTCAAGCCTCTGAGGAAGGGGACTTTCCAGTCAGGGGAAAGTTCCAGTCCTGGGCCTTTCAGAAGAGGGAGAGGGGGTGGGCATTAAGTTCGCTTACCGGCTGCACCAGCACGTTGTTCTTGCCATAGAGCAGGCGTGTCCTGGAATTCTGGTGCAGGGACTCCACATACTCACGGGCGCAGGCAGCCAGCCTGTCTTCTGACGCACTGCCACTTGAATGCCGCTTCCGAATCTGGGCAGAAAGGCACAGCTCAGCGCCCAGCCCTGCGAAATCCGCCTCAGACAACCTGAGGCCTCCATGCAGAGCCTCTCTACCTGACCCAGGGGTCCATTCTGTCCGGGGTCTGCTCTCGGCCGCCCTCTGCTCTCCAGCCATGGACCAGTGATAGGCTCCTGGCATTTATATAAGTGCCAGCAGGGATAAATGGCTCTCCTGAGGTAGCCACGACCTTGGTGCATCTCTAAGGTCCAGCCTGTGTCTGCAAGGAACATGGAGGCCAAGCTGCCCTTCCCTACAGGCCCATGGGCATAGCCTGGATAACTATAAGGGGTGGGGAGAGGGATACCTACTCCTAGGGCTGGGCGCTTTGCAGGGGAGTCCTGGCGACTGGGGGGACCCCGGATACGGTGCCTCTGGACCAGCTCATCAGCAGAGGGGTCAGTCCAGTAGTGATCAGCTGTCTTGAGCTTGGTGTACTCCAAGGCACAGGGTCCCACTGTGAAGACAGGGACAGTTAGCACAGATGGTGCCCCCTCAGCACCTGCCCCTCAGCCCCCACTGGCCCAGCACGGGCCTCTCTGCTCTCAGCTCACCTAGAAGAGAGGCCAAGATGGGGCCAAACACAGGATCTGCCAGTAAAGCCTCCTTCTCGTAGTACTTGCTGCCAGGGGGAGAGACAGACTCATTCCAGGGCAATCAAGCCCACCAAGTACGGACATCCCCACAAAGACCCTTTCGTGTGAGTCACTAAGAAGAAATGAGTCCACAAGGACTGAGCTTTGGAGGGTGCCCTGTGTGGTCTATGCTTTCCGGGTGCTAGAGGGGAAGACGGCCATGCCTATACACTGCTGGGGACAATCACGCATGCTGAGGGGGAGGGCTGAAGGACTGCTCAGGAGGTGAGCCCCAGGGAGGGGCTGCTTGGGGGATGGGGCAGTCACCTGCAGTTCTCCACCAGGTACTGCATGACCCTGTCCAACACTTTCTCGATGAGCGCTGTGCGCACCCATATGTGCTTTAAGGCCTGTAGGCTGAGAGCTGGGCCCTTCCCGCTGGCAGAGCCCTGTCTCCGCAGGGCATCCTGGTTGCCTGCTAAGGGTTTCCTGCAAAGAGAGGGTGGGCTTCAGGAGTGGAGGGCCTGGGAGTAAGCCCCAGATAGGTGGTGTTAGGAGCAGAGTTTGGTGCCCCAAGAACCCAGAGGACTGACTAAGATGAGGGGTTGAAGTGGGGCCTTGTGTCCAAAAGGAGCCACCCCCCCACCCTTAGGCTGGTCTCTCACCCAAGGGACCCTGCAAGAAATGAGCCCAGGAAGCCAACCTGGGAGGGAGCAAATGACAAGTGCAAAGAGCAGAAGGGAGTGATGGCAGGAGCTGGCCCAGGACTCACCTGCCCTCTACTTGCTGCTGCAGCTCCTGTACCTTGTGGCAAATCTCCCCAGCCACTGGGCATGTCTTTCCCACCTTGGTGAACAGGGCCGCCATCTTGTCACTGCGCAGGAAGCCCGCAGCACGGCGTCTCAGCTGATGTAGGAGGCAAGCCTCCACTGCACCTGAGCCACAAGGAAAACCAGCACCTGAGCCTGGGCACGAGGGGGAAAGGGAGAAACACTCCTCTTCCAGGAGTGGGAGGAGGAGGGAGAGGTTGGGAGGAGGGGGAGAGGTTTCAGTCAGAGGCAGGCCAGGGAGGACCTGCAGGGGCTGACATGCCATACCATCCCTCGCCTGGTGGGCACATGCCTCCTGTGTGCAGCACTGCCCCAGCACTGTGAGGACCAAAGCTGCCAGTTCCAGTGGCTCCTCCCCCCGCCCACGAGGGCAAGCATGGACAGCACCGACAGGACAGGAGATGCAGGGAGCACACGGCCCAGCAGCCCTCCCGGAAAGCATGGATGATGTGGTTGCTAAGGAACAGGGCTATGGGAAGGAGGTGAAATATGGATGAGGCCACTACAGAGATCAGACCCAACAGCGGCTCCTGAATTATTGATGAGCCCTGCAGCCGAGAGAGATTTCTATTTCCCATGCTGGGAGGATTTCCCTTCACTCATTCATGTGTTTAGGGGCTAGGCTTATACTCTCCATCTGGATCCTGCAGGGAGGAAAGGACTTTGGGGGAAAAGGGTGGGGAGTTGCCCCAGCCATGTGTAGAGTCTAAAAATATTAGTATGTATGGGCGGGGGGGTGCTCGGCCATTATGAGGGAAAGGCCCAGAAAGGGGAAGGGAGTTGATCACAGTCATGGAGTGGCAGAGCCAGAACCATGACGCAGGACCTCAAACCCTGGCCCAGTCCCTTTCACTTCCTCCAGGTGTGTTGGGGGGCCCACAGGTGGGAGGAGGAGCGCTCCCCTCATGTCACAGGTGCTCTTTCTTTTTTTTTTTTTTAAAGATTTTATTTATTTATTTGAGAGAGAGAATGAGATAGAGAGAGCATGAGAGGGGGAAGGGTCAGAGGGAGAAGCAGACTCCCCGCTGAGCAGGGTGCGCGATGCGGGACTCGATCCCGGGTCTCCAGGATCATGACCTGAGCCAAAGGCAGTCGCTTAACCAACTGAGCCACCCAGGCGCCCACAGGTGCTCTTTCTATACGGATTGACAACAGTGCTCTGCCGCAGATCGGAGTCAGAACAGGGTCTGGAGCTTAGCACGGCCACTCACCGCCCTGGGAAACGTGGGGGAAAACACTCTGAGCCTGTTTTCATCTACAAAATGGGGCTACTTCTCAGGACTGGCATGAAACGTTGCATGGGACGAACGGGGTAAACTCCATGCACGAGTCTGGCTCCCAGAAAGCACTCCGTCCTTGTTGGTTCCCGAGTCCTCAGCCCTTTTGGGCGAGATCCTGTTCCACAGTTAACCTGCAAGGGCTGCGTTTTTGCAAGACCTCTCCCTGGCAGGAAGAGGATAGGGGGGCCACAGGCTGCCCAGGGGTGGGTGGAGATGCCGCTCTCTCAGGAAGACAGGAACTAAGGCCCCATCAACTTGACTGTGACTAGTGTTGTTAGAATATGAAGCCTGGCCTCAGGAAATAACCACTTTCCCAGGCTCTCACCTGGTTTTTGTTCTCATTTTCAGTAACTGACAGGCAGTCACTGCTGTCCTTAGGAGTTTTGTCTGGGGGCACCTGGGTGGCTCAGTCGTTAAGCGTCTGCCTTCAGCTCAGGTCATGATCCCAGGGTCCTGGGATCGAGCCCCACATCGGGCTCCCTGCTCCACGGGAAGCCTGCTTCTCCCTCTCCAACTCCCCCTGCTTGTGTTCCTGCTCTCGCTGTGTCTCTGTCAAATAAATAAATAAACCTTTAAAAAAAAGAGTTTTGTCTGGCCCTCTCTGGTACTGAAGTCAAGAAGTTGGAAAGAATCCCGGGGACTGACCTGGATGCTGGACCAGGTAAGAGCATCCCAAGGGAGGGGAAACAAGGCAGGACCCTCCCTCTTCTAGGAGCTTCCTGCTGGGCTCTTCCCTGCTCAGGCCTCAGAGGACTTTATTTTACAAGGCCCAGCTTTTCCCTCACAGCATGTTCACACATGTATGTGCACAAGTGTATACAGATATACCTATACACATATCATGTGTGTATGGGGCATGTGGGAGAATCTCTACTTGTGTCCACATACTCCACTCCATGACTGTCCCCTTGGTCCCTGGAGGTCCTGGGTGGCCCTGGTCACTTGGTCCTGGGGTTGCAGCACCTGTAGGAAAGTGGTGGCCATTTCCTGGGATTGCACTCCCTGTTCAGAGTGGGAGAGAAGCAGCACTGAACACGGCCAGAGTGGCAGGAGGTGGCACCAGTCCTGGAGGGATCATGTGCCTCAGTGATGTGACTAACTGCTGGCATAATGAGCCATTAGCCTTCCCAGCTTCCCCAGGAGATTGCAAATGCAGCCAGGCTGGGGAGCCTGGGAATGGTGGGTAGCAGCGCTCCCATCCCGCCTGGCCTCCCCCACACTCTCAGGCAGCCTATGAGCACAGGCATTAGGGTTCTCTGGGGTGAGCAGAGGCATCCCTCAGCAATTACAGCAAGGAGAGAATATCGAGAGAAGCCCAAGCATCATGCCCAGGACCATCCTGCTCACCCCATAGCCCCTAAGTCCCTTCTGTGAAATGTAGGCAAGGTGCCAGGCAATATCTGAGGAAGGAGAAATCTTTACCTTCCAAGCAATGTAAACAACCCTCTATGCCAGGTATTCTTAACCCAGTTCCAAGGGCTCCTTGGCCAGTGACTGTTCAAACTATACTTGTCCTTCCCCATTCCCACAGGGCTGTCTGCCCCTTAGTCCTCCAAAAGTCAGCACATGCAATGAAAAATATTGCGTGCAGCATGCAGAGAAAATAGTAATAACAATAACACTAATAATCATTGAGAACTACTATCCTAAGAGGAAAATCATCGGTGTGCTCCAGCATGCTTACCTGAGTGTTTTTCTGGATACAGTATCTATGATTTTTAGCTTCTAAAAGGGGTACTTGATCCCCAAAAGCTTTAGAATCCTTGCTCTAAGACTTTTGGGTTGAGCTGAACCACAGACAGCTACACTGGTCAAAACTCAGAGGTGCAAGTATAAAGACTCTCCCTGCCCCACAATGTACAGCGAACACCACTCAGAACTCAGTTGCAGGGCCATCAGCAATGAGGTCCAATTCTCTTGCTGCCCTTGCTCCCCAGGGAGGGCCTCTCACAGACTGTCAAGCACCCCTTCCCAGGAGAAACCATCCAGAGGCCCATGCCTCGCCTTTCCTGACCGAACCAGAGCACCAAGCAGAACTCCAGCACCTTATTCCACTTTCTGCCCCAGACTGCCACCATGACCCCTCCCCAGGGTAGAAGGCTGTGGCAGGAGATGGTCATCATGGCTTAAGCACCAAGTCAACCCATCCCATCCTCCTTCTGTTTTTTTTTTAAAGATATTATTTATTTATTTGTCGGAGACAGAGAGACAGAGACAGAGAGAGAGAGAGAGGAAGAGTACAAGCAGGGGGAGAAGCAGGCTCCCTGCTGAGCAAAGAGCCCAATGCGGGACTCGATCCTAGGACCCCGGGATCATGACCTGAGCCGAAGGCAGACGCTTAACCGACTGAGCCACCCAGGCGCCCCACCCATCCTCCTTCTAAGTGAAGGCTCAGGAACCCCTGTTCCACTAGGTCCCGGTACCACCTACAGCAACCCTAGATCCACCAGAAGAGGGGTGAGACATCCCTGACATCATCTAGCTCATTTCATATGGGACAAATGTGTACTAGTTAATACAAATCAACACTATTTTTGGTCATTGGTTGTACTGGAAAGGTTTGGGTGAATAAAGAGAAACAAAACAAAGACATGGTTCAATAAGCACAACCCTCTCACTCCTCACCTTGGTCTTCCAGTAGAACTTTGGAGCTATGGTGCCAGATGAGCCCATGGTACCCTCTCTACTCTGTCATCCCATCCCCCTGACAAGAAGGCTCAGGGAACTACAAGAACCTTGCTGTGGACATCTCTCCCAAAAGCCCTGGCACCATCTTCCCGGAGAAAAGCTTGGACTGATAGGCCGAGACTAGCCCTGGAACTTTCCCTCACCAACCTCTGATGTCCCAATAAGGTCTATTAAGTTACGGGGCTTAACAAATGCTAAATGGGCTGGAGATCACAGTGCTAACAGAAGCCTCTAGGGCCCCTTCCCACAAATCCTTACACACTGATTTAACCATTCCAAGGAGTCCAGTTTAGAATAGAGGAGACACTGGTAGACAGAGATAGAAGGGACCCGGGAAGTTACTAGATCTTCTCAGACCTCGCTGTGGGGACAGCTGACTGGCACCATGCACCACTCCTGGGAAGACAATGTGGTACTGTCCATCAGTAGTGCAGATAACCTCTGACCTGGTAACCCCTCTTCTAAGAACCTAGTCCACAGATATACCTGCAAGAGACTGGAAACTATCCTCATGTCCATCAGTGGGGACAGGTTAAGTAAATATGGTGTATTCACACAACGGATTATTATACAGTTCTGAAAACGAGGGAAGATGCTTTCTAGGAACTAACAATGAAAAGTTTCCTAAAGCAAGATGCAGGGCAGTGTGATTGCATACCTTTTCATTACAAAAAGGGTGTGTATGGGGGAAACAAAGAATATAATTTCTTTTACTAGGATAAAAAATTCTGGAAGGATGCATAAGAAGCAAAAGTGGTAGCGGTTACCTGGGGGGAGATGGGTAAGTAGAGGGAAAGTGCGATGTGAATGGAGCCAAGTAAAGGAGTAAACTTTACACCGTATAACTTCTGTACAGTTTTGATTTATGAACCAGGTAATATATTATCAAATCAGATTAATAATTATAATAAACAGGTGACCATTCCAACCCAGATACCATGATTCTATTATGAGATGATGCTACAAACTTTCTCTAGCCTGGAGGTGAATCAAAACTCACAAAACCCAGAAAGGCTGGGTCTGTCCATGGGCACCCAGTCCTTCACCAGCTCCCTCAGCAATCCCTCCCAACTGGCTTGGTTCCCCACCCCCACAAGAGCACCAGGGCTCTGCTTAGCATAGCCACAGGTGATCTGC